ACTTTGATACGCGCTCAGAACACCTCGCTTCGCCAGCTGAGAAGTATCTATGTGTTCACAGCGTCGATGCGGAGGTCCGCCGAAAAGCAATCGCAGATCGGTACACTGAAGGCGATCAAATTCCACGCCAGCGCTCCAAATTGATCGACAGCTTTGGATATAGCGTCGCCAGCAGTGGCTTATCGCGGTGTGATCGATAACCGTACATGGCTGGTACGAGGTTGGTGGGCGCCATGTGACTCTTCTGAGGATGTGTCCGAAGTTAGGATCAATGACCCTAATAGGGGTTGTTGAATTAACCGCACCCTGCTTATCTTCTCGTTATTGGTTGCACGAATCTGGAGACGCCAATACAGTACTCACGGGTCAAGCTAGTGTACATATCATTGTAAGCTCCAACACTGTGCCATCGTTGGTTGATTGGATTCCGGTGAACAGCCGTTTATGCGCAGCCCGTTTGACGGCATCAGCGAAGGTAGTACAAAACGCTCCCACCGACTGCAGTTCTAATGCTGTCAAGGACACCTTCTATCACGAACTGAACGCGCTACTAAGCAGTGCTGATAGTTCAGATATCATAGTACTTGCAGGGGATATGAACGCACAAGCAGGACGTCTGAGCTCTTCAGAAGTTCAGCTGGTAACTATGGGTTTAACTCCGAACGGACTGACAACGGCGAGTGACTGTTGCAACTGTGTGCGGAGCACCAGTTGTTTCTTAGTAGCACTTCTTTTAGACACATTGGGCGCCGAAGTGCCACTTGGAGTCCTCCTGTAGCTGACCAGCGATGGACTCAATTTGAGCACATTTTAATAAGTTACAGGTGGCCTGGTTCCATCCTGGATTGCCGCTCGTACTGGAGTACATGTGCCGACTCTGATCATGCTTTGGTACGCTGTCGTTTCTCCATGAACTTTACCGGGAGGCGCACCAAGCGTCCCTGACGATTGGCAACTGAGAAATTGTTTTAGCCCTCGGTCAGGCAAGCAATCAAGACGCACTGCGTACCGAGCTTTCGCTCCCTTGTCCGAATGACACTGAGTTTGTGGAATAGGACCTCGGACGCAAAACACGACGCAGGAGCACCTACTTGTAGCAATACCAAAAGCCACTGCAAGTCTCTGGATATCCGAGAGGTCGGTGAACCAGTGGGAATCCAGAAGAAATCTCCCGGCTGGCTCTGAACACAATGTGACTGGTTGGACTATGAAGCGCAAACTAAACCGAGCCGAGCCGAAGCCTGGTGAACCAGTCGGGCTCAAGAAATGGAGGCAGGAACAGTAGGCAATTACCACAAGCACTTCTAGCTAATCCGCACCACTGGTCCCAGAAAACCAGGCGTCAATGAGACAATCAGAGACAGCGCGGGTGCGCTGATACACAATAAGGAGCGCCGTATGGCTCGTTGGGCAGAACACTTTCAAGACCAGTTCAGCTGGCCTCCTGCTCTCGGACCTCTTCCTACTCAAATGATGCAGGACGAGCCATGGACGGTTAGTTTAGAGCCTCCGTCGGAGGCCGAGGTCCGAAACGCGGTCACAGCCCTCAATGGTTTTCGTGCCGCTGGCCCGGATTCCCTCCCACCTGCATTATTTAAGGATGGAGGTGAGGTCCTCGGCAAAGCACTGACCTCCCTATTCGAAGGTATCTGGAAAGAAGTGTCCCGCTTAACTGTAGTGAATCGATTATGATGGCAATATATAAGGGCAATCGCACAGACTGTTCTAACCAAAGCGGTATTAACCTACCGGAAGTAGTGATATAAGTACTGGCCTCGATTCTCGTTCATCGCCTCACTGTGAGACGGAAATCTCGGATTAGGGAAGACCAGGTAGGTTTCCATCCAGAGCGTGGCTGTATAGACCACATATTCACTCTGCGGCAGGTGTTAGAGCAGCGCCATGCATACCGCAGACCGACAATAGTTGTTCTTCGATTTCAAAAGTGCTTTCGATTCAGTCGAATGATGCATTCTATTCGGAATACCTGCGCGGAAAGGTGTTCCGACGAAATATGTGAACATCGTGCGTACTCTATACTCGAACACTACAGGCCGCGTCAGAGTCTACGGTGACCAGTCGGATAGCTTTCCGACCAAAAGTGGCGATCAACATGGTTGTCCGATTTCCCCGTTTTTGTTCACTTTCGTCGTGGAGTGTTCCCCTACGGAATCTCACGATTAGGCGTTGAGGTCCTGCCTAGTGTAAGGTTAGTATCTTGATTATTCGGACGATATCGTCTTGCTTTTCGACGATGTTACGGCGGTCCAACCTACCCTGAATAGCCTGTCCAGAGTGGTCCCATTATTTGGTATGGACTTCGCACCTTCAAAGTGCAAAGTGTTGCTGCAGGACCACCAGCCACTTGATGATCCCTTGACCCTTGATAACGAGGAACTCGAGGTGGTTGATCAATTCATTTACCTTGGCAGCTACATCAGCAACGATGGGCACTTAGAAACTGAAGTAAGTTAACGCGTTGCAAAATCCAGAACTGTCTTCTTGAACCTGCGGCATCTTTGTCGACAGAATGGAATTTCCCTCCGTCTGAAAGGTCGTGCATACAAGGAAATAGTGAGGGCCGTCCTGCTCTATGGTAGTGAGACATGGCCCCTTCAGTCTGGAGATCTGAGGTGCCTTCAAGTGCTTGAGCCTCGTTGTCTGCGAGGCATTGCTGGAGTCGGATGGCACCAGGGTGTGCGCAACGATGATATGCGTAGGTGGGTACAAGGTAGAGAAAATCATGGTAGCTCGCTAGAAGCGCAGATAGCACTGAATGAGTTGCGTTGTCTCGGGCACATGCTACGTATGCCTGTTCACCGCTTACCTAGGAGGGCCTTGCTTAGTCTGCCAGCTGTAGGGTGGCGCAAGGCTCATGGTGGACAGAAGTTGACTTGGCAGCGGGAAATGAATTCACTGACGATCAAACTGGGTGCCGTTGGTCCGTCTCGCCTTCCGGGCTGGAGTCCACGTGACCCGCCTTGTGCATGGCTCGAGACTTTACAGGACATAGCTCGCAACCGATATCAGTGGCGCGTCTACTGCCGTCTCCTGGTCGGATTGCGTATTTAAAATGTGTTTGGTGCTGAGTTATTTGCAAGGTAATGGTTGATTATGACGCGTGGCAGTGAAAGCCGCAAGGAAGCTGTCTCGCCGATGCCGCCTTATCTTTGCACGATAGCCAGCTGTTTGTGACGGTATGTTGTCTACATAAGGTGTAGGCGCCTTGACCCTGAATGTTTGCTTAGGGCATTAAGGTTTTCAGATAAGTCCCCCATCTCTCCCTCTTAGTATTCTTCATTTCATAGGTCATCACGGTTGGATGGCAGTGAAGCATCAGTTCAAATGGCTGATGTACTGTCATTATTATTATTACTATTATTGTCAGTGTTGTGGTTGTTGTTGCTGCTGCTGCTGTTGTTGTTGTTGGTGGTGGTGGTGGTGGTGTTGTTCCTGAGGATGATATGTCGAAAGTTAGTGTTCACGAGAAATAGACCAGCATCCTCACATAGATGTAGCGACCGCCCACCGTTATCATACGGTAGCCCAGATAAAACAGATCAGTGGACAATTTTCCAACTTAGCAGTTTAGATCGCCAGCAAGCACCACAGTATTCGTGCTTTTACTGTAACGAAGGAGATCGTTCAAGAGGTGATAGAACTCATCTATCGCTGAGTCAGTGCTACAGTTTGTGGGGGCGTACGCAGTAATGACAAACAGGTACCGTTTGTCCCCGCGCAACTTCGAAGCTTTGAACGAGCCATTCAATTTGACGGCGTACATCCGGCTGTTGACTGGGGTCCGAGCAGTAAGCGCAGCTTTAGTCCGGGAGCTCAAAACAATGCCCACATCTGTTTGACCGGCATTTGAAGCTGCGTTATTTCTGAACAGGCATAATGAGAAAGTGCCCACACCATCGCGAGTGAGGGAGCGCAGAGTAAGCACGAAGCTCGAATCTTGCAAGCGGGTTTCCGATAAGCAGCAAACATCGATCGATAGGGTCTTTAGTGTTGGGGCAAGCGTTGCCTGTTGACCAATCTGCAGCAAAGTGTGCACGTTGAGACATGCGTCATAGAGAGGATCGACGGCTCCAAATAGTAAAGGATGAAATGACGTTGGTTGAGCCAACTGTTAACTCTCCTGAACGATGTCTATCCGTTACTAGTGACTCAGCTGGCGTGCCACTGTTTTACTATTCATTTGTATTGTGACACCATAGCTGAGGTGTTTTCCACCTGTAGTTAAGGTGTGTAATGATGATAACGTTGGTCGAACATGGAGTTGTCAACTGAACTGGAACGAGACCATGAGATACTGCGTGAGCCTAAAGCAAGACGGAGGAGGGCCAAGAATTATGTGGGTCAAGAACAGGGGATCAAAGTGAAGTTGGAGTGGGACTATAACAATGGAAAAGAACGAGAGGAGGGATAAGAAGACGGGAAGACCCGACCAGTAGCATCCAAACCCCTATCCACCCTGCTCGACGCAGTAGATAAGGCGCTATTGATTATCTTCCGCGACCGACAGAGTATCAAGGAGTTAAGGAGAGGTTCGTAGTATTGAGTGATTAGGATGCTGCCAAGCTGTCCAAGCCTACACAGAAAAGCGACTGTGGATCTCAGCCGTAGCTATTGGTTTAAAAATCTGACCGCAAGGCAGCGGGACTTTGGAAACGGACTACAGGGAGTCCTTTTTATGGAGTAAGGAGACACCTCGAACTCCAACCCTCAACTCGCAGAGCCAGGAAGCTGAGTTTGTCTGGTCTCTAACCTGTGACCAATCTGGTACTAGTGGCCCAGAAAGTGCCAAACACACGTCCCAGCCTAACTCAACGGATCGTCGAGGCATGCAGACCGTCGTAAGGTCCAGGCAAGAACATGTAATAAACTAAAGTAGATGACTGCGGTAGTAGAACGGAGTATGAGCGTTAGCGGAAAAGACCAAAAGAGTTTAGCAGGCAAAAGAAACCTCGAAACTAACAAAAAGCATTAGGACTAACCTTGTGAGGAGTGCGTGACTTTCTACTACGCACGATCCTTCCCGGTTCGCAAAACGGACCGGTTCTGCAGCAAGTATTAGTGTTGATGATAATCTTACTTCGGTCTTTTGCAGCAGAAAAGCATCACTGTAACCAAACACATTGACAACACGAAGCATGCAGAGATCTCCGTCAGTTGTGCATAGCCCATGAGGACAGTCCATACTGGAACAGAAAAAATGGATTGATAATGTACGTCCTTCGGGCATTAGCCGACGGGACTGGCTATATACAAAAACAAAAATACCGAGGATCATCACAAGGTAAGAAGAGAGTAGAGGACGTAAATGCATCAGCAGTAAGCCTGTAAACAGCATCGACGCTTCGCTGCCGCGCAACTACCACCGGTTACATGTGGACTAAGGATAGTGTGAGGGTTGTCCGGTCCCTACGCTGGTACGAACCCGCGCCCTCAGATTAGTAGGCAGGCTTGTGATCCTTAAGGGCCGGCAGAGTGAGGGACGTGCACGATAACAAAAAGCATTGTGCAGAAGTAAACAAAGATGATCGCCTTTAATGATGAGCATGTTGCCTTGTATACGTGCTCCAGAATGTTGAGTGCACAATGCTAATCTCACTGAACTAGAGGTTTAATAAAGTCGCAGGTACAATAGGAGACACTGACTTCTGCTGTACAAATACGATAGAGGGGAAATTAATTGACGGATGTGGGTGAACTATCCGGGAACCAGATAAAAACATAAAAGAAAAAAGGTAAGTATATAATGGTGATTGAAAGCTGGGCTGAAGGGAATCGCCTACCCCGTCCAGTCGATCAGGCAATCGATCGAGCGGACGAATGCGTTTTCAAACACCCGGCTAATTATAGTTTTGCCTCAGAGTTGAGAGGGCAGTGTTTTCGGCGGCATTATCTGGCTACGTTGGCAGAGCTTTTGTTAACACGTTTTTCGTGGTCAAGACTGTTGATCTATAGAGATTCGGAAAAAGTTCGTCTTGGAAATGGGACTGTGGCGCTTCGAAGATAAGTCTCATGTGGTATCGAAGCAACCACAGATCAAGAAATGTCGTGCATGCCTAAAGGGCACGACGATGCTGGTAATCAGATAAACTGTTGTTCGGAGTGTTCAACCTAATGTATTGCCAAAACTGATTACTAAATACTGTATTATAGAGCAAGTAGAAATGAATTCTGTACACCTCTTGTGAAATATGGTGAAAAAGGTTATAAAAGTTGTCAGTCGTAAATATCGTTGTCGTTCTCATGTAACATTTAAAATATCTGAGTCACGATATTGCAGGACTCACAAATGTGATATGTCATCGTAATTGTGCAATCGTTCTCTGATTCGAATAGTGGTAAAATATAAATCTAACAACGTTTTGAACTGCTGCGCAGATGTTGCCCCCATTACATGTTCAGGTAAACTGTTCCAAATACCTACCACTCTCCTTTCGAAGCACAGTGGGTGTGGAACACATTTCACATCCGGCACGACAAGTTTGTATCAGTGTCCGCGTGCGTTGCATGGCCCTCATAAGTGCAGCATTGGCCTTAGCATTGGGAAGTCATCGAGATGTACACCACGGCAGGTCATAATGAGGTCGACTCGCGCCCGACGGTGGGACAAGGTGTAGAGCCCCAGTTTCTTGCACCGGCCTTCATACCCCAAGCCACGTAAACTCGGGATGAGCCTGGTAGCAACGTGTTGGACCCGTCAAATCTTTTGTGCCTCGCCTCATGTAATCGGAAAGTAGGCGGGCGAA